GGTCCAGTCTGGGTCACACTGTACCCCTACAGTCCAGATCGCTGGTCCAGTCTGGGTCACCCTGTATCCCTACAGTCCAGAGATCCAGAGTAATTAATATTTAACCCGAGAGGCTCTGATCAGTCAGCTGAGCTGGTTTAGTAATGTTAAGGTTTAAGAGGGGAAGATGTGATTTGAAAAGCTGTGAGGGCCACCTGCTGGTGAGAGGCTGCATTTACATGTAGGTTTATTCTCATGTATTTATGGAATATTATAAGGACCTGTTTATATTTACATATGTATCGAAATCCAGTTTTTGTATATGAATGAAAGAGACTGTGAAAGAAAAGTTTCAAACAACTTTTAAAATCCCTTCCTTTGTTAATTTGCTAACTGTAATAAAAGCTGTCTGGAAACCGATGGGTCAGCGATTCCTGTGCCCACAGAAGCACTGCCTCAAGTCACACGTCGGCACCAGCAGCGTTTATTTTGAAAAGAGGTCAAAATGACTGTTTCCTTCTGTTCTCTGTCCCTGAACCCAGTGGGAAACACAAAGAGCAGAAATTCTTATTGCTGAGGCCAGTACAGAGTTGTGGGGAGTCTATCCCAGGGAGGACAGGACAGGGCACGGCCCACACCCAGCAGGGTCAGTTTTCCCAGAAGCCAATTAACCCCTCCAGTTTGGCTCTAGACTGTGGGAGGACACCTACACGAAGGATGGCAGAACATGCAGACTCCCCCCAGACAGCACCCCAGGTCTGGAACTGATCCCGAGGCACGGCCGCAGTGAGGATCCGCGCCCTCGCCTGTCCCTCCCATCCACCCCGGGCAAGGGCGCCCGTCCAGGAGACTCATCCAGCAGCGTCCGCCTGCCGAGACGGCGTGTGGTCCTCCCTGCCGCGAGGCATGCTGGGTACAGTCCAGCGTCCAGTCCAACTTGCCGCAAGGCATGCTGGGTACAGTCCGGCATCTGGCATCCGGCGCACAGTCCACCCTACCGCGAGGCATGCTGGGTACGGTCTAGTGTCCAGCGTGCAGTCCACCCTGCCGCAAAGCATGGTGGGTACAGTCCAGTGTCCAGCATCCAGCACACAGTTCACCCTGCCGCGAGGCATGCTGGGTACGGTCCAGTGTCCAGCGTCCGGCACACGGTCCACCCTGCCGCGAGGCATGCTGGGTACAGTCCGGCATCCGGCGCACAGTCCACCCTGCCGCGAGGCATGCTGGGTACGGTCCAGTGTCCAGCGTCCAGC